CCCCCCCCCCCCCCCCCCACACACACACACACAATCTTGGTTGGACATATGGTGGTGTATTGTAGTTTTCAATATTTCAAGTTTATTTTGGTGTACCACAAATGCAAAGAAATGCTAGTGGTTTCTTAGGCATAGTAATAGAATTGTGAAATTAAGTGAAAAGTGAAAGCCTCAAAGTTCTTCATCCTTTTTTTGTTTTTTGAAACTTCAAAGTATCACCACATATTCAAATAAAAATCAGGCACCTGAGCTTACACCTTTGTTGACTGCCAGCTATTCCATTTAATATGCCTGATAATCTGCTTCGAGTAAAGTTTGTGAATGTTATATACCATATATATGCATATGTGCAAGACATTCCTTTGTGGTCTTGTCAATCAGCTAGCTTTTGAGCTAAGCTCATTATTTCTGTTTTATAATATGATTGAACTCTTATAGGTACGAGGCATGTGTATGTGGTGGCAACAAATTAGAAACATTGGCATCTGGACTTCTCGAACAACTTGTGCTACATTTTCCCGAAGTAAAAGATTTGGACTCAAAAGGATCCAATTGTAATTTCAAATTTCAGCACCCTGATAATGTTTCTGGTGCTGAATGGTTCACAAAATCTACTTTAACGAGGTTCATATCATAAAGTGCTTCTTGTTTCATATGTTGCATTTTTTTGGTTTGTGGACTAACTGTGTCCAATTTTTGTACACTGGACTGATTAAATTTCTTGTCAGATTTCTATGTATTGTTTGCTCACCCGACAAACTTAATATCGGCAATTATATTGTAAATGAGATATCTCAACTAGAGGAAGCCAGGAGATTTCATCTGTCCTTATATACAAAGGTAATAACTTTCACCGTTTCCCCAGTCGGTCTTTGATAGGGTGTTTTAGCTCATCAGCATAGCTGGAAGTAATTGGTTTTCCCCCCTCTCCATTTTGAGTATGTCTTTAATGTTTTATGATGCCCATATATATTGGGATTTGACATCCAATTATTCATGTACTCTCAACAGGATGAAGTGGATATTGCACCGTCTGATGCATCAAAGTATGTTCTGTTTATTCTTTTTCTAATCATCAATTAACCATAGTAGCATCACTTCTAATTAGAGTTGGCACTGACAGAAATGAACTGCTACGAGCGATGGACTTAAGGCTCACTGCTTTAAGAGAGGAATTGGCTGCTGCTATTAACCAAGCTGCTGGTGCCACCTGCTCTCTTAAGGAGATCACTGACTTGGAAAAACTTTCTCATCATTTTGGAGCCTTAGATTTAAGGTACTTTTAGCCACCGTAGATGAGTTGGATCTGTTTTTCGGACACTTGCCATAACTTTGTAAAGCATCGTATGATGCTTCTCTCTCTCTCTACCAAGTTTTCTACATATCCTCAATTTGATTGTGATTACCGAGGTTTTATCATTTGTTAGTTTCTTTATCAGGAATTCTTTGTGCAAGTTAGTAGAACTGAGCCAAAAGAGCCAGAATGTGGATTTTCCAAGTGACGACAAGCCTCTGTTGACAAATGATTCAAGGAATGACAGAGTCAGTAAAACAAATGGGGGTGCTCAGATGTCCAAAGAACCACAATCTGATACACCGGTAAAATATGGCGTCTCTCCTGCAAAAGTTGCCCAGGTTGAGAGACAAAACTCATCGGAAAGCGAGGAATCTTCTTACTCGAGTGAGGAGGATCAACCATCTGTTGAAAGGAGTAGGACTCTTATAAGATCTGCATCACCTAGAAGGTCAGCATCTCCAATGCGGAGGATCCAAATTGGGCGATCTGGATCACGTAGGGCCACTGCACTAACTATCAAGAGCCTCAATTTTATTCCTGCTAGGGAAAGGGTAGCGTCTCACAGAGATGCTGCTGCAAACAGCAGTGAAGAGGAAAGATCTGAGCAACCCTCCAAAAAACCTGAGACCAATGTACGGAGAATGAGTGTGCAAGATGCAATCAATCTATTTGAGAGGAAACAGAGAGATCAAACTGTTCAGACGACAGGTTCAGTGTTAAATGCGTCTGTTGGTGCGAACAAATCTGTGCTTAGAAGATGGAGTGCAGGAATGGGGGAGAGTTCTGCCCAATGCATCCCTGATAATGTTGCTGAAAGTTCTGTAACTCCCATTGGAGAAATTCAGACGAGCTCCCAAGAAGTGGAATCAAAGCCTGATGTTATATCTGGAGCTAGCAGTCCTGTAGAGACTGCTGAAGTTGTTGACAAATTGAACTCATCCGAGAAAAGAGGATCTCATCCAATGGGTGTGCAAGTTGATACTCTTCTAACTGAAAGAGACGGAAGTAATGAAAAATTAACTGCATCAGCTGAATGGAGTCGACAGAAAGAAGCAGAGTTGAACCAGTTGCTGATGAAGATGATGGAAAGTAAGCCTGTCAGATATCAGAAGGCAGGGCCTGATAATAGCAAAAGCCAAAATGTTCCGAGCCAGCTGGGGGCTGGATTTTATGATCACTATAAGGAAAAGAGGAATGAAAAACTCCGAGGAGAAGCTTCTGGAAAGCGAGCTGAGAAGGAAGCACAATTTAGAGCAATGCAGCAGATTCTTGATGAAAGAAAGGCTGAAATGGCCTCTGCAACTGCAAGTCATGTTGGCAGAAGACATCCTGGGAGTAAACCTCAAAAATCACCAAAAGATTTACGGCAATCTGCAAATCCCAAGAAGGAAACCTCAAAACCTACTGTTGTGAAGAAAGCTTCATCTAAACCATCTCCACTGCCTGCAATGCGTAAATCATGGCCATCAACACCATCACCAAGAGCTACAGGGACATCACCAGCTAAAACTCCCGCTGGGACGATTTCTGCTGGTACCACTCCTACACGTCGGAAACCGCAACCAGCGCCATCCGTTCCTCGATCAAGCCCAAAAGTGGAAAGATCACAACCACGACCAAAGACTGTGAAGGCAACCCTGAATGATACTCACAAGAGCATTAAGGGTGTCAATGAGAAGCGGCAGCATACTGTAACTGAGAAGAAGCAGCAAACTGTGACCGAGAAGAAACAGCAGCAAACTATGACCGAGAAGAAGCAGCAAACTGTGATGAAAAGTGGGAGAACTACAAAAGCCAAAGCTCAGAATAATTCTGGAGATGATTCATCCATGATGAAACCTAATTCCTATAGCAAGGTGAAGAAGAGCACTGTGGTACCACTAGAATCGAAACCTTTTCTCCGTAAGGGCTCTGGCATTGGCCCTGGTGTCGGTTCAGTTGCCAAGACAAAGTTTCCTTCTCAGCCTGAGGAGTCTTTGAGAAACTCTGGTGATATTATCCAAGCTGAGGAGAAAGAGGTGGTGGCAACCAACACTTCTGACATGGTCACACAGCAGCAGGAGAGCAATCTTGAAGCACAGGAAATCCCTGGTGACTTAGAACCGGGAACTACAGAGTCAAATATCACCAAGGAATGCGAAGACACGGAGAGCACTAGTCAAGTTACTGCCAATGATGATGATAGCTTTCCAAGAATGGCAGAATCTGCATTAAAAACTGAAGCTGAAGAAGTATCAATCATCTCCCCAGCAGCCTGGGTGGAAATAGAAGAGCTCCCGGACGAGCCTATTCCATGCAATGAAAACACTTCACAACTCGCATCTTCAGCTACTGTTGCACTGGTGGGAATGTCAAGTCCACGTGTTCGCCACTCTCTGTCGCAAATGCTGCTCGAGGACAGCAGTGAACCTGACACTACTGAGTGGGGAATTGCTGAGAATCCTCCTGCCATGATCTACCAAAAAGATTCACCAAAAGGATTGAAGAGGCTCCTGAAGTTTGCTCGAAAAAGTAAGCCCGATTCAAATTTGACTGGTTGGGCTAGCCCGCCTGTCTTCTCTGAAGGAGAGGATGATGCTGAGGAATCTGGAGCTGCTAGTAAGAAAAATGCTGACAATCTACTGAGGAAGGCTACTCTTCATGCAAAGAACTATAGGCAGCCAAAGAGTTTCTCAAGTGAAGCGTATGAGAAAAATTCAACTGCTCATGAACTCTATGGTACATTTGCTTTATTCGTTACTTCACCTCTTCATAAGTATTAAATTCTTAAGTTCTATTGAACTGTTTTTAGTAATCTCGTTAGTAGATAGTTTGAAACTTAATGGTTTCATCAAACTTTGAAAGCATGGAAAGCTTTCAAAGCTTTATGTTCTCTTCTTCTTTCCCTCGTTTACACTGGTTCTCTTTAGCTGCATGAACTTGCTATTTTGTGTAAGACTGTAAATTGTGTCCTTACATGCATGATTCACTTTGGATGCATGATTCACTTTGGACACATTTGCGGATTTGCCCAATCTGGATCTGGCACTCTAGTATAATGGACATTATATATGCAGCCCAATCAAAGCAAAGCAAATCCGATGCTCAAAGTTCTTCTCACAAGTTGCAGGAGGGCCATATCTTTACTTCAGCGACCACAACTAAAGGTAACTTTTGTTCTCTAGTTTGAATATCTGTGTTATCTTTTTTGAGTTTCCATTAGCTTATATTGGTGCTATCACACTATTTTTTTGATATTTTGTGGTGATGCATCTTTTTAGTCTCTGTAAATTCCAATGTTCTCTACCATTGTTGTGTTTCCAGCAACAAGGTCATTCTTCTCTCTTTCAGCATTTAGGGGCAGCAAGCCGAATGAAACAAAGCTTCATTAACGCAGAGGACATCAGGAAGTACGAGGGTTGTAAGTTTTAACACATACCCTTCTCCATGACCTAACACGAGTGAGTTTTGATTCAAGACAAATGTTTCTTTTCTCTTTCTCCTTTCCTGCTGCCATATGGTGTGTTCCTGGGGGTATTTGTGTGTGGTTACGATTCTGTAGAGAAGTCTGGTAGTCTCAGGTTTTCATCAGTGAACATTTGAATATACTCTGTAACGACATAGGCTAGAAACTTGGCTTGGGGTTGGGGTGGGCAACAAAGTATTTGTAATTTGTCTAGGAGCTGCCCTTTTTGTTTGTATGTGATAAGAAACCACTGCATAATATTATTTTAGCTTTTGAGGTTTTTGTATATTGCTTCCTTTTGTATTTAAATCTATAGACTCTTCTTATATTGCTTTGGTTCGACTTTGCCCTATCTATTTTGTCAGCAGTTATGTTTCTTTCGAAATGTTGTTCGACTGTTGAAGCCTTTTTGCTTGGGTTTGAAATTTTGCAGAGGCTGGAGGGTAACCCGTGCATTGCACGTGATTTACACGAATCTCTACCTATCAACCCCCGGAACTACCACCCCAACCTACCTCCTCCCTGCAACCATCTAACCCCAACCCCCCTCCCCCTCTAAAACCCTCTCCCACCCCTAAAAGCCCCCTTACACCACGGCAATATTATCATCGTTCAATGATAAGGCAAGTGGACAAAGTAAATCTCTCTCTTTTAAGTAGCTATCCTTTCATGTAGAATAATAATTATCCCATGTAAAGAAGTGGAGTTTACCTTGTCCATTTGATTATTTATCATTAGATGGTGATATCACGTGACATTAGACAGTGATACTACATGACAATACTAATGTGGTGTAATCGTTACGCTGAATGTTGACTCATCCACCCCGCCCAAGAGCAAGATTATCAATTTTTTTATCTTTATTTTTGAGATACAAGAATAGTGTATTTTATTCTACAATATTAGTTAGCCAATAATATTTTAGAGAATTTTCCCTTTCATTTTCATGTGGATCCAAGATTGTGTATTTGAATTATAAAAAAACATTGATTTAATTGATATCTGAGTGGGTGAGGTGCTTTCAGGAAGTTACTTTATAGTTAAACTGTTTCGTATATGAAAAATATTATTTTGATAAAAAATATTTACACCTTTCCCTAATTTCTTCTATTACCATTATTGAATAAGTAATGATTTTCAATAAATATTGACACTCATAGTTAAATCAATGATAGTGATTAAATATTATCAACATTTTTTGTTTAAAAAGCATTGGTCTTCGTAAATTGTGAAAATCAAACCACCCAAAATGGGTAATTAAAGAACGAGAATAGTATAAAGAATCCTTTAATTCATTGCTTGAAATATATAAATGAGTTGGTAGTAGTACGATGAAATATTTCATTAGAAGCGTGCTTTATTCGATTAAGCATACCATCAAAATTGTAAATAATAGCATTTTTAGCTACAATAATTGAGTGTCCAAGTGAGAAGGTTTCTTTTTTGGTGGGTTCAAGATAAAATAACACAAGAGATTGTTTTGTGCTGTGTGAACATGGTCATAGTATGTATGGAGACCGAAACGGCCATAATTGATAATGATAATACAAAAATCATTCAATTCAACGCCATAGAAAGAGTCCCACCTTGGCGAGTTGCAGCTTTCTTCTCTGACATTAGACCTATTGCTAAGAGATTGTCTTTAAAGCTTAACTATGTACCTAGAAGTGGAAATGGAGCTGCTCACTAAAGAAACTCCCAAGCAACTGGATAGGCAATCCACCTAGTGAGTTAAGGACCATATATGCTTAGAAATGATTGTAATCCACTGTAGTTATGATTAATATAATGGTTATGCCAATCTGTTCACCAAAAAAAAAAAGGTTTTAGTATGTATGGGCAATCTAGGCAGGTCGCAATAAGTCATTAGTCGAAGATTTTAATCATAAACTTAGGTTGTCCCGTGATTGACCCTACTTAGCCTTCACCACCAAAGATGGATAACTTTTTTTAACGTTGATCCTATACTCGAATCTGTTGATAAAACCTGTTGATTGAGAGTTCCATAATGTATATATTTAGGAGTATAAGCCTCGAAAATGAGCCAAGGTTTCTCACTTTCATTCTCTCTACCTCACTTCCTACCACGAACAAGAATGCAATCAAACCAAAAATAACTCACCATGACAAGAGCCAACGCTATTTCTTCTCAAAAAACAAATGAAAACTTTAATAGTTCTTGGAGTTTATAAGGTCAATAAATACGTCGTAGCCCACCATATATAATGAAAAGGAAAAACCTTTTGGTAGATCCACATAAGAATCAAAGTCAGAGGAGGGAGGTTCGTTTTTGATATTTTTTTCCTCAATTTATTTTAAAGTCAATCGTCAATCGTCAATCGTCACTCGTCCATCGTGTATATATATATGAATGTCACTCCTATGTTTGAATCTTAATTAAAAAATATATTTGTCGTAAATTAGTTTTATCTTTTACGATAAAATAGATATATCGCCAAAAATTGAGCCTTTAGTGACGGGTTCAAAATTTTATTACGGCACAAAAAAATACTTTTCTAGTATTATAATTTTTATTTTTTAACTAATAAAAATATGCTACGTGTAAAATCAATGACTAAAAAGGTGAAATATCGAATTCCTACCCTGGATCTCAAACTGGGTCATCCATGGGCCTTAAGTCAAACATCACAATCTGATTTGCCTCCAACGAACCAACCCTCAATCATACTCGTCCTATGTATTCCTAGCCCACGGTCCACATCACGCCTCACACAACTCACAAGAGAGAGAGAGAGAGACAGAGAGAGAGAGAGACGGTGGACAGTTCCAAAATCGAAGACGATAAGGCCGTCTCGTCTCATACAGGCGTACAGCTAGCAGCAAAGCTTAGCTAGTGTGAAGGCGCTAAAACCCATCTCTTTCCCTTTGGGGTTTCTTCGTTGTAATCGAAGCTCTCTAGTTTTGATTGTGCCCAGAGAAGTAGAAGCAGGTGACTCGACCATCTAAGTAACCTTTCGTCGTTGTTTTTTGTGATTGTTATTAACCTTATCGTAAGCAATCAAGAATGCTTGTAGGGTTTAGGGTTTTACTGAAATTTCCCTCTGTTGTTTCTTCTTGTTTTTAATTGCAACTAATATGTTAAACACCAAGAAGCCCTAAGAAACGAGGATTTAGCTGTACTGTACATTTTGCATTCAGGTTTAACTCAATTCCGAACTTTTTACCCCCAAATTTCTGTAGATTTTGTCTGTATGATTTTGTATTAGTATTGGGTTTTGTGTATTAATTGGAAGTTGTTCTATCTTTCTTGGGCAGCTCCTCATGGCGTCTCAGTTAATTAGAGAATGGACTGGAATTCAGCAATTCCCTCCTGCCACACAAACCAAATTGCACGAACTGTTGGGAAAACTAAAGCAGGAGGTTTTACTCTCTCTCTCTGCCCCAGTCTTCATGTTAATCTTATACATGTTGTATTTTGTTACAAAGAAAAGAGAGCAAAAGAAAAGGAAAAAATAGTAAAATTTCTAAGTTCAGAGGGAAAAAAACCCATAATCACCTGACTCAACAAAGTGAATTATTTACTTGAGCTTCATTTGGGTGGATTTGTTTCTGAACTCGTTCACATGTTACATAATACTCAGCAAACGAACTAAACAATGTTATTGAATACCATTTACCATGAATTGAGCAACTTGGGGATGCCCTTCGTGTTCGTGGAGTAACTTGCTTACAGTACACAGGTNAGCTTCATTTGGGTGGATTTGTTTCTGAACTCGTTCACATGTTACATAATACTCAGCGAACGAACTAAACAATGTTATTGAATACCATTTACCATGAATTGAGCAACTTGGGGATGCCCTTCGAGTTCGTGGAGTAACTTGCTTACAGTACACAGGCCGTCGTTAGTTGTGAATTCTATATATTTATATTTGTCACATGAAATTGTAGAATGTGAGCACGTTGACAATCCTTGTGATGGGGAAAGGCGGTGTTGGAAAATCCTCAACCGTGAACTCTATCATAGGGGAGAGAGCTGTAGCTGTCAGTGCTTTCCAGGTATTTAAATCTGTCAAGGTGCATTGCAGAATGACAGCTAATAAGATGAATTCCAAGTTTGTTATTTATATATTGATCATAGATGTTCCGCAATTGTGTAGTCTGAAGGACCAAGACCTGTGATGGTCTCACGTTCACGGGCTGGATTTACGCTGAATATTATTGACACTCCAGGGCTTGTTGAAGGAGGATATGTCAATGATCAGGCACTTGACATCATCAAAAGGTTCGTATATTTTAGCTTCACAGTTTCACCAGGTGAAATTTGTAGTGTTAGTGCATTTTTTTACCTGTTATTTACTGTTGTTGCAGTGTCAGTGTTGTGAATGTTGAATTATGTATTTTGAATGTCTGTTTGGGGCAATGACTTCTAAGTTGTGGGGCTGGCTATCTGAACAGGTTCCTTTTGAACAAGACGATAGATGTTTTGCTTTATGTGGACCGATTGGATGCATATAGGGTGGATACCTTGGATAGGCAGGTTGTCAAGGCTATAACAGATAGTTTCGGTAGAGAAATATGGCGTAGAGGGTTAGTTGTCCTGACACATGCTCAACTCTCACCACCAGATGGATTGAGTTATGAGGAGTTCTTCACAAGAAGATCAGAGGCACTCTTAAAAATTGTGCGTCTGGGAGCTCGGATAAGGAAACAAGATATTCAGGTATGTTATATTTTCTGAGACCAGTCAATTTTTTTTATTTATTATTTATTACATTTGGCTCTTTATTTATTCTTGTTTTTATGTTTTCACTTAACATGAATACAACAAGTTTGTTGTGTAGACATGTAGTAACTAACATTNTTATTCTTGTTTTTATGTTTTCACTTAACATGAATACAACAAGTTTGTTGTGTAGACCTGTACTAACTAACATCNTACATTTGGCTCTTTATTTATTCTTGTTTTTATGTTTTCACTTAACATGAATACAACAAGTTTGTTGTGTAGACATGTAGTAACTAACATTGCCTTTATGTATTCTCTGGTTTTTCTGCTTCATCATCTTTACTTTGTTTGGAATTCTACATTTTTGCAATGATTGTCTTGTTCATGATATGGACATGATATGGTCATCAGTCTGATCAATTTTCTCCTGATTTTTCTCTTGCTAAATCTCATTTTTCTATTTTGTTGTTGCTTCTAGGGTTCGTCTATTCCTGTTGTTCTAGTTGAGAACAGTGGGAGATGTAATAAGAATGAAAGTGATGAAAAGGTAGGTTATCCTTTTCATTCATCAGTTTGGCTTTCCAATGCTTATTGGTTTATTTGTTTAATATAATTGAGATGCTACCTTGGGATTTGAGAGATGAAGGGTTATGTGAATTACAGATTCTTCCAGATGGAACAACTTGGATTCCCAATTTGGTCAAAACAATTACGGATGCTGTTTCAAATGGAAGCAAGGGTATTTTGGTTGACAAAAAGTTGATCGAAGGTCCAAACCCGAACGACAGAGGGAAATTATTGATTCCTCTTATTTTAGCATTTCAGGTAAGCTTATGGACTTGTGGAATTGTTGTGTTCCTCTTTGTAATTGCTTTGAAATTTTATCAAATGTCTGACTGATTCTGACGTTGTTTTGACAGTATTTCTTTGTCGTGAAACGGATACAAAAATGTATCATGGATGATATTGCAAAAGAGGGTAAACCTTTGTGGGGATGAACCATCACCGTGGAACCATTTTTAATGTTTGCCACAGTTCCTCTCTCTAGTGCGCGTCTATTTCTTTGTTTCTTCTTATTATGTTTAGGTTGTAACTGCCAGTCAGTGGCAGAAGTTATCTCCAGCAGTTGGATTTCGATGTGTTTTGAGAGAACCTGGTTTTTTGTACTCCAGACTATTTATGTGCTTCTTTCAGATAATGTTTTTCTTGCTTTTGTGGTGTGTTCATTTTGTTCTTTTGGCACTGTTGTGTTGTTCAGTTGATTATTACAGTTTTGCTATTTCTACAGTATGGAAAGTTGGAAGGCCAACTCTTCTTGAACCCATAAATGTTCTGATAGGGGCTGGAGAGATTCTGTTCCCCAGAACGACACTGCTAGCGAGAAACTACATGGTGCGTGCTTTGTAGTCTTTTTTTCCAGCTGAACAAGAGAAAGATACGATGTAGAAACAACCCTAGCAACGAGGAGCAAATCTCCCAACAGAAGGAAATAATACCGGAATGATCTGTTTACTCCCAAAAAAAAAAAGAAAACTTGTAGCTGAGGAGTTTTATCCTGGAGATTTAGGTTCTTATAGATGATCTTGTTCTGGGTTTGACGTTTCCTACATCTGGGGCTTTGTTTCCACCGCTTTCCGTTTACTTTCTCTTTGGCTCTTTCATAGCTACTTGTTCCATCACCCTCACACTCCCGGGACCTTGCCAATCCAAAACCATCAATTCAAGCCAACACGCCATGTCACCCCCATGACATCATTAGATTTTTTTTTGCCGGTTAAAATTGGAGGAGCGACCAGTAGGTTATCCTGATTACGAGAGTTTTCTCGACCGTAAAATATTTGATTTGACCTATACTTATTAATTTGAAAAGGTAGTCTGTCGCACAACAAAGCTAAAATTAAGTAGTAAATCATGTTACTCTTTTAAATTGAACAATATTTGATAATTACATGGACGATTGTAAACGAAGATTTATCACTAAACTAATCAATTTGAGTGGTTACATCATCGGATATATATATATATGTATATGTGTATATGCTAGTGTAAGTGTGCTTTTTGGATATGAGCTTCATTTTGTGTTTGCGTGAATTAAATTTGGAATGAGATTAGTTTTTCTCCAAGGAGAAATAAATACGAATATATTGATATTTTAAATATTTTTTTGGCTTATATAAAATGTTTTAAACTTCAAAAATGGTCTCCAGCTATAAATTTCCAAAAGTAGAACATCTTCATGAAACGATTGTGGCATTTTGACAAACTTAAAAGGTCCAAGTGGGCCTCCTATGGATTCTAATTTAAAATGGATTGGTCAGACATGAATTAATATTTTATATTAATAATTCAAATTTGAAATCTTATATTTTACGGATTAAAATTTATATATATAAATCAAGTGATTAATTAAAAAAACTTAGTTAAAATTTAAGTGTTATTTGTTAAAATTTAGTTAATTAAGGTATTCAGATTGAATTTTAAATTGGATTTCGTATTATTAATAAATTCGAACATGAATTATAAAAGTTAAAAAACAGTTAGATTATCATATCAGACTTTTATCATATTATCAAATTCAAACCCGATCCATTGAAAGGTATGGTAATATTTACCCTAACCCCCTTAATTTTATTTTATAGTAAAAATGTTTTTTTTTTAGTAATACTACAAAATATAAATGAAATTTAAAAAATTATAATTCGAATGGATGTAATCCTTTGTTAAATGAGTGAATTTCACCGATTTTTTCATTAAAACCCATTNTAGGTCGAATTGACCGAACCACTATAAATTGTGTCTTCTCTAATTTTTTCGTTGATTACATTGNTTATCAACGGTCCAATCTTTGACCACGTTTCCTTGAAGAGTTCCCCAAACTCTTCCTGCCGTTGAGGATAAGTCGTGATCTCANTATAAATCAAGTGATTAATTAAAAAAACTTAGTTAAAATTTAAGTGTTATTTGTTAAAATTTAGTTAATTAAGGTATTCAGATTGAATTTTAAATTGGATTTCGTATTATTAATAAATTCGAACATGAATTATAAAAGTTAAAAAACAGTTAGATTATCATATCAGACTTTTATCATATTATCAAATTCAAACCCGATCCATTGAAAGGTATGGTAATATTTACCCTAACCCCCTTAATTTTATTTTATAGTAAAAATGTTTTTTTTTTAGTAATACTACAAAATATAAATGAAATTTAAAAAATTATAATTCGAATGGATGTAATCCTTTGTTAAATGAGTGAATTTCACCGATTTTTTCATTAAAACCCATTCATTTCACACTCGTGTAAGTTTTCTTTTCCGCTTTCAAAAGTACAATTGTAAAACTTGCGACGGTTAGCGAAGACAAAACCAACGGTCGTCTTCGTTATAGAAACCAAGCAAACATATTTTCTGGCGCGAAACTAACGGTCTTTATAAGTATAGTCCTTGTTCTTTAGACCCGAACGACCAAAAAAGATTCTAACTCTTTTTCTGGGTTTCTTAAACTCTGTCCATCAATGCATGAAAACGCCATGTGGAGACTTCAATCCGATTGGCACTCTCCAACTCGCCTCACCACTCCCGTGGATTACGACTTTCCGGTACAAACACCCTTTTCTTCTTCTTCTTCTTCTCTCTCTCTCTCTCTCACACACACACACAAACTATTACATTCTTCAAAGATTTCGTTTAATTAATGGTTTTGTTTTCTTTGTATTGTTGAAGGGAGATCGGTTTATACCGAACAGGAGTTTGATGGATCTTGATCAAGCCCACAGTTTATTGACAAATAGAACTAGTAAAGAAGAGAGCAAACCTAAATTCAGTGTTAGTGTCTCTCGTTTTTTTTTTTTTTTGACTGTTTCTTGAATGTTTGCACATGGGTTTCAATTTTTGTTGCATTTTCTTGGTGGGTAATTAGGTTCCCCTAAAACTTGGTGCTTTAGTTCTTGGTTTTTCTTGTTTTTGGGAAGAAGAAATTGAAATTCCTTGATGGGTTTATAGGTTGCTGAATGTATTTGGTTGTGGCTAGAAGAATCTCTTGAAATTAATCAGTGGTTTCTAGGATTTCGGGTTTTCAATGTGTTGGATGAAGAAAATGATGAAAATTTTAAGCTGTGGTTGATTAATTTGGTTTGTTTCCTTGTGGCAGGACGAATATCGACGCAAGTTGGAGGAGAATCTGACCTTGGATTCTGAAGGAAGACCATTGCGGATGCTGGTTTTTAGGGGAAGCCCCAAATCAAGTAGAAAATCAGGCCGTCTCATTGATGAAATGCGACGCAGTGATGAGGACCTTAATAGTTACAATAATAAGCACAAACAACATCGAAGCTTTCCAAAGGTATACAGCCAGAAATTACATTGTCTGTGGTATTGAGTCTCTTCTAGTCATACCAATTTTTAACATTCGATGCCATGAGTTTGTGTTCTAATCCTCAGTAAATTTTTTTTGTTAACTGTGTAAGAATTTTTGGAAGAGGTTGTTTATAAACTCATGAATAGTGTCCAACACTAGCTGGAGATCATCTTAGTAGTTTTTGATGGCCAGCATTTGTTTCCAAGCATATTACATCGATTGCCTTTTTTTTTTCACACTCACTCACATGTCCAAACCCTGGAAAATTCGGTTGAAGCTGTTAGTTATATACCAATGTTAATGTGTTCTTCAATAACTGAATTGGAGAGAGATGAATCTTGAATTACTGCAACTGTAAGTTTTCTTCATCAGAAGGGTTTCTAGTCAAAATCTGACNTGTTAGTTATATACCAATGTTAATGTGTTCTTCAATAACTGAATTGGAGAGAGATGACTCTTGAATTACTGCAACTGTAAGTTTTCTTCATCAGAAGGGTTTCTAGTCAAAATCTGAATTTAACGCTTCAAATAGCCTGACATAATGATGTGTGCAGAGAGAAACTCGGATACTGGATGCGCCAAAGATAAAGGATGATTACTATCTGAACATCATGGATTGGGGGAAGATCAACATTGTTGCTATTGCTCTAGGTTCAGAGTTATACCTGTGGAATGCTGAGAATTCAAAGATTCACAAATTGTTGTCTGTATTCCAAGGGGATAACTACCCTACCAGTGTAGCATGGTCAGATGATGCCAAAATACTAGCAGCTGGACATATGTTCTCCCAAATTCTGCTCTGGGATGCTGAGACTGGCAAACTTGTATGACCTTTCTCTGAATTTTAGGACAAAATGAACTGTCATAGCATCCATAGGCATAGAATTGATTGTATTGTTTTTCTCTCTCTAATATACACAGGTCAGAAATTTAGATGGTCATGAGAAAAGAGTAGGAACCATCGCATGGAATGATCACATTCTGACATCCGGGAGCCATGACAAATCCATCATCAATCATGATGGTACTAAAAATCAATTTCTTTCCAGTGTTTTTTCGTTTTGAAATTTTAATAATCGGGGAATACAAAGATGTTTAGATTTGGATCTTCTTTACTGTGTGCTGTTGTTGACAGTTAGAGCAAGAAACAGTTTGACATCTCGGTTAGAAGCACACTCCAAGGAAGTTTGTGGCTTGAAATGGTCAAGGAGTGGCAAAAAATTGGCCAGTGGTGGCGATGACAATGTCGTTCACATTTGGGATTCTCTCAAAATGGGCTCAAACCATTTTATGCACCGGTTCAACAACCATTGTGCTGCTGTCAAGGCTCTTTCATGGTGCCCATATGACTCTGATGTACTAGCTTCTGGAGGTGGCATCGCAGATGGGTGTATTAAGTTATGGAACACACAAAAGGGGACATGCATTAGCAGCGTCGACACCAATGCTCAGGCAAGTCAGCTTGCTTTTTNTCTCGGTTAGAAGCACACTCCAAGGAAGTTTGTGGCTTGAAATGGTCAAGGAGTGGCAAAAAATTGGCCAGTGGTGGCGATGACAATGTCGTTCACATTTGGGATTCTCTCAAAATGGGCTCAAACCATTTTATGCACCGGTTCAACAACCATTGTGCTGCTGTCAAGGCTCTTTCATGGTGCCCATATGACTCTGATGTACTAGCTTCTGGAGGAGGCATCGCAGATGGGTGTATTAAGTTATGGAACACACAAAAGGGGACATGCATTAGCAGCGTCGACACCAAAGCTCAGGCAAGTCAGATTGCTTTTCCAGTCTTTGAGATAATAATAATGCTAAATGGGTGAATTGACTTTTCCATGAATTTATTCTAAAGAACAAATATTGTTTCATTGTTTTATTCTTTTACAAATTTGCCTGGTGCTACAGTTTGATCCTGTTCTTCCTCAGCAATGATGCTATTCAGTCATGACTTGATGATTCTGGTTGAATACCCGTAGATTCTGTAGCGTAATTCAATTCTGTATTATCGATTCTAATTTGGTGGTATGTAAACAGATTTGTGGATTGGAATGGAACAGGCATCATAAGGAGATATTAAGCGGCCATGGTTTTAGCAGAAATGATCATAGCAACCAACTGTGCCTGTGGAGGTACCCTTCCATGTCTAAAATAGGAGAATCAATGCAACAATATTCATCCAGACTTCTCCACCTTTCCCAGGTCTGGCTTAGTCCCTTAAATTGGTATAAGAGATCGAATGGAGCAACTCGTGAGAATTTACTGTGAGGGTACTTAATATTTACGCCCTTCGTTAATTTGTTGCAGAGCCCAGATGGATTAACTGTGGTGTCAGCTGGAGCAGACGAGACTCTACGCTTCTGGAAGATTTTTGGTCCACCAAAGACAGCCAGCCTAAGTGTTTCAGAATTAGATGGCCTGTTGTCTTTGAAGGCATCCCCCATAAGATGATGGACAGAGGAGTGAATTTTTCATTTCATTCTAGTAACTTTTTCTTTCCCAGAGAAAGAGTACCTGATTGTTTAGTTAACGAGACGTACATAAATCAACACAGCTCCATGTATATGTTCTTTGGAGCTAAGGTTTAGGGAGCAAATATCGACCTTATAGCGTTGAAGAGAGTGAAAAAACAGATTTTGTTGGTCTATGTTAGAGGTGCCACCTTGTATACAGATGTGTATCACTCATGGAGCCCTTTTTTCGAATTTTGGTGCCCGTAATTGCTAACTTACAATCTCTTTCAGAATCCATAGATCATAGGAAATTAGGTTGAAGACAGTATAATTCAACGACGCAAATACAAATTCAGAGATGTCTGCAGATGAACACATCACAACTACTTGAAAAACAAAATCTCTGAGATAATTTATTGTCAGGCTTCTCCCATTTGGATTCAGGAATTTTGCTAGTACCCCAGGCCCAGTCTTATCCTCCTCCTTCAAGGAACTTCCATCAGTATTGTACCAACACCAGCTCAGAGGGGGAAATTCCCAGGCAATGAGAAGGATTTTGTACTTGGCATCCAATGTAACAAGAAGTCATGCGGCCAAAAGTTCTCATCAGTAGATTCTTTGTTCCAGTTGCACCAAATATGCTTGTGAGGAACAGATATGGAGGCTCATCTCAATCCCATGAACTCTACAATCAAACTGGGGGTACTACAATGGACCAGAGCCACTGCCAGATGATGATGCTAGGTTCTGCTGGGGACAGAATTGCCACATAAATTTATTGTGAATTCCCAATATCAGTAAGACCCAAAAAAGTGGTGTATTCTCTATCACAGTTATGGGAGGGGTCCCAAAGATAGCATTGAGAATCGGTTGTCACTTCCGATCTATATAATCTTTGCGGAAGGCCCTCAAGAAGGGGTTCAGAATGGGCCCCCTTACCTCCACACATGGTTACCTCAACAAACTACTTGGTGAGAGAATAATTTAAGGGCGAGAAGAATTTGTTCCTTTTAGCGACCTACATTCCAGGTTTTTTTTGGGTCGTCTTCCTTCTGAAGTTGGATTAACTCCTAGCAACAAAGATGTAAAAGTGTCAAGATATGGCCACGGTTGGCTCAAGCTTGGAAATTGAAGGAGATTTGTCCCACCGCGGCTTTAGCATCCTCTTAGCAACAAATTCAGCTTCTTTTGATCTTCCTTCAGCTTCAAGAGCAATTCTCAACTCTTTTAGGCAGCTCAAACGTGGTTCAATTTTGTTCTCTAACAGTTCATAATAAAGACCAAATGCTTCAGAAACTTTACGAATTTTACAAAGACCAGTTATAACCGTGCTGCATATTTCTAATTTAACATTTTTATCCTTCTCCAAACTAAATAGCAACAATTCATGAGCCTCTAATAACTTTCTACTCTGGCAAAGGAAAACAGCCAACTCTTCCATCTTCACTTTATAGCCGTTCCCATAGAGATCCCGAACAATCTCAAAGGCCCTATCCCGTAAGCCGCTCTTGAAGAGTAGTGTCACAGTGTCTGTTGAGAGATCAATGTTTTGCCTAATTTTTCTCTCTAGCATTAACGCCACTAAGCTAGCAGATTCACGAGCAGAGCCCTTTTTGACAAGTTCTGCAAGAATTGAATGAAAAGTAGATGTCTTGGGAATATGAGAGCTTTTCAGCATCCTCTCCAAAGTATCATGGGCAAGATTAGGTTCACCCTTTTGCAACAGACTATCAATGAGGGACTCGTAAGTCTCAACATCAGGCACAAAGTCTCTCCTCAACATAAAAACCAAGAGATCATGTGCAGCCTTACAGTTACCTTCCCTGCAATGCCCCATGATCAAAGTTTTGTAAGCAGGAGGGTCCTGTGTTCCTCTTTTCATTAGCTGCCTAAACACTGTCTCAGCCTTCTTAGTTCTCCCATTTCTACACAAATACTCAAACATGGGATTGTATGCAGCAACAAGAGGCTTACATCCAACATCAAGTAACAATATCTCCTTCTCCGCTAGCTCATCAAATAGCTGCTCTGCTCTCTCAAAATCCCCTTTCTGACACAAATTCCTAATCAAAACACTGTATGTGGCTGAGTCTGGTCGGACCCTTAACTCCGTCATCTTCTCAAAAACTTTCAATGCTTCATCCAAATTTTGAGCGTTACAATGAGCATTCATCAATGTGTTAAAGGTACAAGTATCTGGAACAAATACTCCATCCCCTCCAGTTCCCTCAAAAATTTCCTTTATCTTATCAAGTTTTTGTGCTTCACAAAGGCCTTGTATAAGAGTGTTGTGAGTTATTCTATTCGGCTTTAGACCGTGGTCAACCATCTCTCTAAAAACATCCAAAGCCTCGTCAATCTCCTGTTTACCACAATACCCCCTAATCAAAGTTGTGTAAGAGACAACATTAGGTTTCAAATTCAAATCCTTTTTAAGCATACCCTTTATCACATTATGCGCAATTTTCACCTTCCCAGCCCTACACAAGCCATCAACAAGAGTATTATAAGTAACAACATCAGGGTCACATTTAAACCTCTTCATTTCCTTGAAAAACCTGAACCCTTCATCAACCTTTGAATTCATAGAAAACCCTCTAATTAAAATATTAAAAGTAAATGTATCCGGCGCAACACCATACGTACTAAGCATTTCATCATACAGGTTATATACCATCCCAGTTCGACCACGTTTAAGCAAAATTAAGAAAAGACTATTGAAAGTAACAACGGAAGGTGAAATACCCGTTTCTCTCATTTTCGAGAACACTTTCATCGATTCCTGGAACAACCCGGCTCGAGCGTAGCTTCGAATCAAACTATTAAAGTACTTGTCTACGAGCCCTATGGAATTATTTGACCTTCTTGGGATTGAGAAGAGGAAGTTCCGAGCGGCATTGAGGTTCCTGGTTCGGCCGAGGATTTCGAGCACGAGGAAGAAAGATTGGTCGTCGTGGGTGAATCCATTTTGTTGGGTCCAGTCGAAAAAATGAAGGGCATTGGATGAGGTACGAATAAGGCGGAGAGTTTGTAGGACGGTAGTTTTGGAGAGAGTGGGAGAGAGAGAAGTGAGAGACGATTCGAGGTCTGATGACCAGGGTTTATTGTTGATGAGACGAGCCATAGTTTTGGCCCTTTTGGTTTTGGTTGATGATTTGGGTTTGACACTGAGGTGGTCATCGTCGTCAACGGTGGCGATGTTGTGATTAGGTGGTTCTGAAGAATAGTATCTGAGCGGAGATAGGTATGGAAAGGGACACTTTCGAATGGATTCAAGGAATAGACTTCTGAAGAGAGAGATTCTTCGTCTATGCGAACTGGGAGTGGCAGCCATGAAATTGATCACGTCACCACTCAAAACCTGAAACGGGTCTGCTCTAAACTACACAAAAGANGGGACACTTTCGAATGGATTCAAGGAATAGACTTCTGAAGAGAGAGATTCTTCGTCTCTGCGAACTGGGAGTGGCAGCCATGAAATTGATCACGTCACCACTCAAAACCTGAAACAGGTCTGCTCTAAACTACACAAAAGAGTGAAAAAAACCCAGACTTAAAATATCGTTAAATAACTTTCAATTATTACAATTTAGCCCTTGAATTTTTAAAATCGTTTCAATTGATCTCTTTGGCCTATTTTAGGAAAAAAAAAGTTATCCAAGTGAGGTTTACTTTGTTTATTTAGAATTTATTATTGGTTGGTGATATCATTTTAATATTTTTCACCATTGAATTTTATATTTTCTCCTAATTTAGGAATCAATTTGGACAATTTTACCCATGCAAGAATCATGTGCTATTGGTAGGGGTTAGAATGAGGATACAAAATCTTACCAAAGTGATAATTGTTAATTCTCGCATCTACAACATTCTTATATGACGAAATTAAGGTTTTAGACATAGAAATGAGCGATTATTAAAGTTGTAGAAACTTTATATTCTTATTTTGCTCCTAACGATAGCAGTTGAATGAACATGAGTTTGATCTTTAGAGTTTGATCTTTAGTAACTTAGAGGTGTTAGGTTCAATCTCTTTTCACGNTGTTAATTCTCGCATCTACAACATTCTTATATGACGAAATTAAGGTTTTAGACATAGGAACGCAGCGATTATTAAAGTTGTAAAAACTTTATATTCTTATTTTGCTCCTAACGATAGCAGTTGAATGAACATGAGTTTGATATTTAGTAACTTAGAGGTGTTAGGTTCAATCTCTTTTCACATTTTCAAAGAGTTAACTGTCATTGTCCCTTTATGAACATGTTCTAGCCCAATTTAAGTAACATTGGCCAATCGTTGAGGTCGAGGGAGTACTTGGCACAAACCTAAACACATTCTAACAAACCAAAAAAAAAAAAAAATGAATGAAAGGGATTGATTGAAACGTTACAAAAATTCAAGCGTCAAATTGAAACAATTCAAAGAAAAGGGGGCGCATTTGAAAAAGAAAATTCATAGTTTAAGGATCATTATGTGTACTAAATTTCTGAATAACATGAAATTTGTTGCTTCGATTTTGTTTTGCATTACAAGCGTTTCATTTCACGTATGCATTTCATTATTCTTAAATCTGTGGGGGCCACGAGTCCATTGTTCACGGTGGAGCTCTTGAAGAACTTGATCATCTTTTAATGCTTCCCATTTCTTCAACTGCCCCATGTTCCACCATGAACATTGAATTTGTGGACACTTGATCCTGATCACATCAATACTCGTTGTATCTGCTATCCTAAGCTAAGCTCATTGCACAAGGTTCTTGCCAATGTAAAATTTGAATGAATGTCAATAGAATTGTATTAACTTGATAGTACATAGTACATTTCTGCTCATTCCAAATAGAAAAATGTACATCTGGAAGAACCATCAGAACAGGGTGTTGTTGCAAAACATGTCAATCTTGATTATACTTATACCGCTTTAGGTGATCTCTATGCCACAATCAAGTTCATTGTAGGTACTTTAACAGCAAACAATTGAAGTAGCAAAAATCATTCAGCCTCTGAATCATCTGTCTCACTTTCCAAGTACATCTCTACAGCTTCACTGCCTGCTGCACTCTCCTCTTCTTCCTCTCTTTTCCTCCTCTCTTCCTCTCTTTCCCGCTCTACAGCTCGAGCCTTTGCCATTTCTAGCCTGGAAATGACTGTTTCCCATGATACAAGCTTCTCCATAAAAACTGATATATATTCAGCCCGTCGGTTCTGTGAGAAGAAACATCAGAAATGCTACTTTTGTCGTGGTATATACAGCAGTCTTTCATGAAAGTTGTTAGTCATAATCTTATTTCATCAACTACGCATTACCTCAAAGTCGAGGTAGTAAGCATGCTGTCATGAGAAATCAAATGTAAGAAAAATTAGTCAGTATTTAAATATAATTGTCTCAGAAAATTGAAAAAAAAAGGGAAGCAATCAGGTGTAAGTTGTCAATATATTGAGTTACCTCCCAAACATCTATCGTAAGGAGAGGCTGCAACAATTGGGAAACAACAATATCATGAGATTCTCAAGGATAATAATCTAAAACGATCTACTGTTGTAAATCCAAACTGATATCATCCACATATGAGAATAAGAAAACTTGATCAGCCATAAGTACTTACAGAGTAATCCCAGAGAAGGGGGTTTATGGCATTGGGACTCTTCACTACCACTAGCTTTTTGTCCTCTTCTGATGGACGAGGATTCACAGCATTTCCAACATTGAGTCTATTCGCTTTGTCTAGAAAACAAGAAATACAGAGCAATCATCTCATATAATATTTAGCTAGGATTACAGAATATCATTGGGAATGCAAAACAAATGCCCTCTATANAACATTGAGTCTATTCGCTTTGTCTAGAAAACAAGAAATACAGAGCAATCATCTCATGTAATATTTAGCTAGGATTACAGAATATCATTGGGAATGCAAAACAAATGCCCTCTATTGGAAGAGGGCAAGGAAACCACTCACATGCAAGCCAAGCCCAGCCAGAACCAAACTGTGTGGCTGCAGCTGACTTGAACTGTTCGACAAATCCTTCAAAAGAACCAAAATCTCTGTTGATCAGTTCGAGAAGATTTCCAGATGGCCTTCCTCCACCGCTTGGTTTCATAGACTCCCAGAAAAAATCATGGTTCCAGATCTTCAGTTGGGTAAAAAAATTCAAAACATAATTAAACATTACAGGATTAAACCATAAATTGCAAATCTACTTCATCTACAGAGATGGAGATTATCAACAAGCCCAAAATCTAGTGAAAATTCAGAAATTTCATTATGAAAAGCTAATCTCATGGTTCACCAGAAAGAGATTGAATAGAAGGCTTACATGATTTGCATACCTGTGCAGCATTGTTAAAGGCTGGAAGGAGATCTCCTTTGTTATAGGAAACAAGTATTATGTCTTCCAAAGTCAATCCATCTTGTTCAGTTCCCATTATTTGCTTGTTTAAGTTCTCCACATAACCTCTATGGTGCTTCCCCCAATGGTACTCTAATGTTTCGCAGCTCATATGTGGCTCCAAAGCATTCTACCAAGTATCCATTCATTATAAATTTAAAATGATGCCAACGAGCAATATTGATTCAACAATGTCAAAGAATTTGCAGTGTTTGGTAAAATCACCACGAGCTNGCTTCCCCCAATGGTACTCTAATGTTTCGCAGCTCATATGTGGCTCCAAAGCATTCTGCCAAGTATCCATTCATTATAAATTTAAAATGATGCCAACGAGCAATATTGATTCAACAATTTCAAAGAATTTGCAGTGTTTGGTAAAATCACCACGAGCTTTTGATATTTCTATTGATTTCTTTAATTCTCTTCATATGTTAAACAAGGCTAATATAAGGTCAAACATAAGGCTAGGTAATCAAATCCGCTTCTCAAGATACTGTTAAGAACCCTGATTGAGAAAAACCTAACAAAATGCATCAATGCTGATCAAAACACATTTAGCTTGACTGCACTGCACTGTATAACCATAATTCAAGAAAGAGATAGAAAGANGTAATCAAATCCGCTTCTCAAGATACTGTTAAGAACCCTGATTGAGAAAAACCTAACAAAATGCATCAATGCTGATCAAAACACATTTAGCTTGACTGCACTGTATAACCATAATTCAAGAAAGAGATAGAAAGTAAAATTTAATGTTTTGGACAAGATGAAAGAAGAAGACAATCTCGAAATTTTTGAATTTTTTACCAGTGGGTATGGAGGCGGCTTTAGCTGAATTTTTGCAGTAACTTGAATGGGCCCAGCTTTCCTCATAAACCGTGTCTGCAAAACACAAATTTCTTCATTAATGTTAGCAGTCAATACTGCCACGTACTATCACCATCCAAGGTGAACCCACTTCTTTACNTTGCAGTAACTTGAATGGGCCCAGCTTTCCTCATAAACCGTGTCTGCAAAACACAAAATTTCTTCATTAATGTTAGCAGTCAATACTGCCACGTACTATCACCATCCAAGGTGAACCCACTTCTTTACATAGGATAGTTATTATATTACATGGATTGATGATTAGTTAATAAATTTTGTGGGGTTTACTGGCCCAGTTGTTGGCTTATTATCCGGCGGACATCACAGGACATTATCGACGTGAGGTAACAGTTACATTGAATATTTTCTTGATAGACAGGAAGAATTGCTGCTGATTTGGCAACCACAGTACTGTAAGGGTCACGTTGAATACGATGCAGTTAGAAAGACGAGCACATATCAAGCGCAAAGAGTCTAGCCTCTTCTCATGATAGTCCAAAATTCCAACTCCTGGAAGAAGCATTTTACCAAACACCATTCATTCATATTTTTGCTCATGCACTCGATTTCCCACTTGAATTAGACCAATCTTTCTTTTACGGAAAATATCGCAAACATAACTTATAATTAGACGGATAATCTAATTTTGCCAACATTTCAAGAAGAAAGTTTAGAAATGCAGTAGCTTACCTCGTTCTTTCTCCACTGCAAGCTCTGAGTTGAACCACAAAACCCTGCTATATACAACCATTAAAAACAATGTCAGAGAGAGAGAGAGAGAAAGAGGGCTGAGGGAGAGAGTGAACGAACTGGTTGAGGGGATTCAATGGCGAACCTTGGTAGGGAAGAGAAGCGCACAAAAGCGAAGTGGGTGTAGCCGTTGCAACCATATCTCTGTTTCTCGAGTGTTTCGAATTGGGCTGAGAGAGGCGGCAAAGAGCTGAGGCACCACCCTTTGGCTTCTTAAATTGTGGGTAGTACACCTAACTACCCTCTTTCTCATTGGGCGAATAAAAGTCAACAAAATGGTAGTAATACTGGCGGTTGTTTAAAATTGAAATCTTCACAACCTCTTAAACCAAGTTTTAAGAGAGTTCGATATGATTGATCTTCTTTTAATCAAATCGGGAAAAAAGATTAATCCATGTGTGTGTCAATTTCTGATTGGGTGACTTAACACTTTGTTGGGATTTTGAAATATTTTTTTGAACTTTTTTCACTTTGTATTTTGAAAAACTTAATTTTATTTTGTATTGATTAAATTTTTTCATATTATATATATATATTAAAATTATTATAACGTGACCTTTCCGTTAATTTTACTTGATTATTCCGTCAACCACTCCTCTATTGACATTGACGCAATGAGTGACAAAAACAAATGACAAGTTTATATTGTAATACTTTTGATACATTGAGAGTACAATATAAAAATTCTTAAATTTTTTAGGGCATAAAATGAGAATTCTTAATTTTTTTAGTGTAGAAAGTATAATTTGCCCATAACAATCCTATTTTTGAAAATTCAAAATCTTTTAATTGCTCATTCCCGATTGTACCCTAACAATCCAATTTCTTATACAGAAAAATAATAAGTTTGGGTTTCACATCATCCTAATCATCGACTTTTATTCAATTATTCATGGCAAATAAGAGAAAAAAAAATGAAATTCTAATCGACTGATAAGGGAAATGTCATATCTCTTAATATGGTGAGATTCCATTTTTGTCATGATTTTCTGTGAAAATTAGATAAATTTGAATAATGTGAAACTCAAATTAAGATTTTAAGTGTAACATGAGAAAATAATTGTTCATAATATTTTAGCAGCCACGTAATTTAGGAATGTAAGTGTAATTTTTTTTTATCCTAACGGTGAAAAGTGTTTGAATCAATTTACGTGTACCGACTAATTTTTTCTCTGATTTGATCAAAATCAGGTTATCCACGTTGAGTTAAAATTTTCACGAGAATTAAATCTCAGGTGTCCTAACTCTAAAATATTTGTAAAATTTGAATTTAGAAGGAATGGGTAATTGTAATTTTGTCCATAATTTGACGTCTCTAAATTTAGGAGGAATTACATCTATACCTCTTAAAATTTATCATTTAATCAATCAAACTCCTTGACATTTAAAATATTATACACAGAGCCTCTAAAATTTATACACATGTAACACTTAGTCTCTTGTTGTAAATATATTCTTTAATAAATTACATTTAGACTCTCCTAAAATTTACGAGTATATAATACTTAAACCCTTTAACTTTAAAATATTATACTTAGACAAAAAATACACCAATCAAATATTTTAAATTTTACAATCAAAATTCATGTTCTATTGTATCATTTATTAAAATAAAATCAATAATAAAAAATTTATTTTATTTTAAAAATTTGTAATTAGTATACAATTATATTGTCTATTAGAATTTAATTTAGTCGTGTAAATGGCCAAATTAAAATACCAAATTATTCCAATTAAATCTAAAAGATATTGAGACCATTATAGTTTGATCATTTGTTTAATTTTTTAGTTTTATTTTAATAGACAATATAAATATATACTAACTATGTCTTTTCAAAAAAAATAAATTTTTATTTTTGATTTTATTTCAATAAATTACATAATAGAACATGAATTTTAAATGTAAAATTCATATTCTATTATGAATGACTTAGATCCTTTGTTTGATTTTTGTAGTTTTATTTCAATAGATAGTATAATTGTATACTAATTACTATTTTTTTAAGAAAAAATTAAAATTTTATTTTTAATTTTATTTCAATAAATGATACAATAGAATATGAATTTTGGTTGTAAAATTTAAAATATTTTATATTTTATATTTAATTGGAGTATTTTTTGTCTAAATATAATATTTTAAATTTAAAAGATCTATGTATTAAATACCCACAAACTATAGAAGAGTTTAAGTGTAATTTATTAACGGATATATTTACAATAGAAGTCTGAGTGTTTCATATCTACAAACATCAGGGGATCAGTGTATAATATTTTAAATGTCAAGATATTTGAATGATTAAATAATAAATTTTAAAGGGTCTGAATGTAATTTTTCCATAAATTTAAAAAGGTTGGCGTCGTTTCATCCTTCATTGCAAGTGGAAAGATTTGCGAACATTAATGATTAGCTGCAGCCTGATCGCGTCCCTTCGTAATATACCTATTTTCCTTGTTTATCATTCGGTTGCACCGTTTCACTCTCTTTATAATCTCCTATGACCTTCATGACCAATGCCTATCGCTCACCCACGTTCTGTTCTTTAACAGGTCTCTCTCTCTCTCTCAATTATTTGATGTCATGCCCTATGATAATTTCTTATGATGTTTTAATCTTTTGCAGAAAGCTGCAAGGCCCAGTAATAAAACTGCCCTTTCCGCTTGGAACTCGCCATCAATCTGCAATGTTCATCAACAATGGAGGTACCCTCACTCTCTCTCTCTCACACAGACATACACACGCACACGCACACGCACACATATAACTTGTATGTAAATGTAGTTCCGTCCTATTAATGATATAAATCTTTGCAGTGGCTAACGATTCACGCAAGAGGAAGATGAAGGAAGTTACCGAAACTGCATTACCTGTTTCTGCACCACCAATCAATCTCTTCTCATCCCTCCATCACCAATCTCCTTCGCAACCTCTCGTCTCTAAAGCTCTTTGCTTCGACCTCAATAGCCACCCCCAAGGGCCCCAACCACAGAAGATATATATGCCATTCAAGTCATTCACATCCTTATTAACCGAAGGCCATGCAGATGATCATCTCTCTTCAAATATACAAGAACAAAGTGATCAAATTGACCAATTGATTAAAACCCACGTAATCTCTTCTCTCACTCCTTCATGGGCTACTCTTATTTTTCGATTTTACATTTTTATGTATGTAATTTTAGTGGGTTATGGGTGGATGAATATATGCAGGGTGAACAGTTGCGGCGCACTTTAGCAGACTTGTGGCGGAAGCACTACAGTGAGCTCCTGTGCGCAGCGGAAGAGAGAGCAACGAAGAAACTGAAAGAGAAAGAGTTGGAATTTGGCAATACGATGCGTAGAAACGCAAAGTTGGAACAGCAGGTGGCGCAGTTTAGAATGGAGGCGCAGGTTTGGAAGGCCCAGGTGGAGAATCTGGAGGAAAAGACTTGGTCTCTGAGGGCGTCATTGCACGAAGCAAAATTGCGCGGTGGGAGCACGGATGAAGTGAGAGAGCTAGGATGCGCCGGTTGCAAAGAGGCGCATCAAGAAGAGGCTGCCGAATCGTCGTTTGTTGACCCGGACCGAGTCGACCCAGTGAGGCTCGAGTGCAAAGCATGTGAGAAGAGAGTCGCGACGGTAATGATGTGGCCTTGTAGGCACGTGTGCGTCTGTGTGAGATGCGACGCCGTTTCAAAAACTTGCCCTGTTTGTCTCTTCCCCAAAACCACCAGCGTTGAAGTTTGTCTCCCCTGTGGCACAAAGTGAAAAATCGAGGAGTTTCTCTCACTTCAACCCCCCAACCTTTCTTTATTTGTATTTGGGATGTGATGTGAAAACTTCAAATTATTTGCCATTTTATCCAAGTCAGAATATAAATAATGAAATCTAAACGATATTTACCGTTGTTATGCTCTGGATAAACAGAAATATCCGCTTTAGTAAAACTTAAAAATTTGAATTATCTCAATAACAAAGTCTACTTTAATTCGGCTTATTGACTTAATCATATATAGAATGATTAATAGTTGAACCCTCTATTTGTTGGGCCTTATTATTAAATCTAATGTTTATAATGGCTTAGGTTAGTAAATGACGTCCAAATATAATTATTATAATAAAATCAATAGGTTAGATCAAATTTTTAAGTTTCGATAATGTTCTTCTAAGTAATTAGTTTCAAATCAGGATATAATAAAAGAAAAGAAACACCAAGAAGAGAATAACAGCTGTTTCAATATTTTTTTTAATTTTATATTTTGGTATTATTAATAATGAATAAGAAATCCACTTATATATAATATATATTTCACTTGAATTCATGATAGATGATCTACTAAAAAGAAAAATAGGAAAAAAAATGTATTGAAAAATGATCACATGTCTACTATTTAGTCTTGATTTGCTAAACTAATTCATCAACATTAGAACTGTCAATGCAATGATAATGTCCAATAAATTAGAACATTGATTATTAATTAAATAGTATTAGCATTTTCCGTAATTAATTTCGAATATTGTTACTATTCTTGGAAAGTCAAGACTTAACGGAAGTCAAGCCCTTCTTGGACTCTATTTTGGAAAGAAAGGCCAAAGAGTCCTCCTACACAACTCCATCATTCACAAGATCTCCGCCAGCCTAATAGCCGACTACAATCGGAAAAAAAACACATGGAATACCAGAAAAATCTTTACAGTGTTACAGTAGTGTTGATACTTTTGATCGTTGGTGTGTTGTATATTTTCGTCTCAAACCCTGAAAAGGGCAGGCAGCTTTTCTCTCCATTCCAGAAGTCTCAGTGTCAACAGACTCAAATCTCAAAGACAGTAAGAACCCTTCTTTCATTACCCCCCCCCCCCCACCCCAACACACACACTCACAGAGAAAATAGGTTTAAAGATATTTTGATTGACTTTTAGGAAACCTATGCATGGGTTTGAGATTATTTTTGGGTATCGGGTATTCGTCTAAATTGTTTGTCATTTGAATTCATGGTTTTAATACAAAATTTGGTTGTAAACTATATGCATCGATTAAATCATGATTTTTACGGACGAGTGAGTTTAGGTGTCATCTTTGTTCGATCAATGAATCAACCCGAATTATAACTTTGATCATCAATTTTAAGTCTTCAGTTATTTTTATATTTGGGTTTTATGCGACCACGATATTAAAACTCAAAATATGCAGTTTTATGTAGGATTGTGTTTTGACCATTGGCTTTACGTCCTCCTACCTATGGGGTTTTCATCTTGTCATAAATTGCAGTTTAACATGACCATCAAGAGGGATGAGCTTGATGAGGCATTGGCCAAAGCTTCAACACAAGACAAGACAGTGATAATCGCCATTATAAACAAAGCCTACGTCGAGGGAGACAAGTCAATGCTCGATCTATTCTTGGATGGTTTCTGGCTTGGCGACGATACTCGGACCTTAACCGATCACCTGTTGATGGTTGCCGTCGATCAAACATCCTATGAACGGTGCAAGTTTCTCCGGCTCCACTGCTACAAGCTTGAAACAGATGGTGTAGAGTTTGGAGGCGAGAAACTGTACATGTCTAGTGATTTTCTCAAGATGATGTGGAGGAGAACCCTATTTCTCGGTGAAGTGCTCAAACGTGGTTACAACTTCATCTTTACGGTATGTCTTTATATCATATCATACAGTAATTGCATCATGGTTTTACAATAGGAATAGTTTGTATCAACTAGGAGAGATCGGGGATGCTCCGTCTTCAAGAACAGAAATAGAGAAAAAGTTTAAAATTGTTTGTTATACATTCGTTATTTGGTTTTTGATATTTAATCATTAATTTGTTTTGATATATAAAGAAGCAAAAACGTTTAAAATCCATCCGTATACATTCATAAACCCAATTATTAAATTGAAATTTGTATTGGGAATCGTATCAAAACAACCATAAACAATGAATTAAATTGTGAATGGTACAATTTTGAAAATAATGTCATAATTATTACATATTTAGCATGGTCAAACATGATCATATGCTTTTAAAACATAATAAAAAAGGCTCTTAATTGATGGTAATTGTGGTTAACTGACTGGCTTAATGTTTCATTTACTTTGGCTTTTAGAAAACATTAATTTTTTTGTAGAATTTCATACAGCTAGTTAAATATCTTTTGGGTGCTAAATCTGCTTATTGAGGTTTGATTCCTTATATGGTTGATAATCGAGCTGAACTTAACGAGTTTGAGCTAGTTTTTTTAAACGAGCTTAAAAATTGTTCAAAACTAATCGAGCCTGAATAACTTAATTATTTTATTTATAAATGAGTCAAGTTTTACGAGTTTCAGTCCAAATCTTTTTAAGCTCGTTTTTTTAAAATGTTTAAAAAATTATGAGCTCAAATTGAGTCTTATTCAAACCGAGTTCAAACCGAACCCAAATAACTTAGCTCAATTATTCTCTCTAATTCCCTTCTAGAAATTTGAGATCCTAAACAACCCCCTTTGAGAATTTTCATATTCTTGATTAGTTTATCATCCTAAGTTACATGAATGTGCTTAAATTTTTTGACAGGACACTGATGTACTGTGGCTAAGAGATCCATTCCCAAGGCTGAGCCTAAACGAAACCATGGACCTCCAAATCAGCACCGACGAGTTCTCTGGCGACCCATGGTCGGAATCAAACACCATCAACACAGGCTTCTACATGATCAGATCAAACAAGAAGACTATAACCCTTTTTGAAAAATTGTACGAGAAGAAAGACAACTCCACCGGAATGAAAGAACAAGACGTTCTTCAGAGACTGATTCACGATGGTTTGTTCAGAGAATTAGGCCTTAGGGTTAGGTTCTTGGACACCCTTTACTTCAGTGGATTCTGTGAAAACAGTAGAGACGTTAGTGTTGTGATAACTTTTCATGCGAATTGTTGTCGGAGTATAACCGCAAAGGTGGCTGATCTGACGGCTGCTATTCATGATTGGAAGAGGTTTCGGAGCTTATCTACCAATGAGACGGCGAGGTTTCATTGGTCAGATCATGTTGCCTGTGTTGACTCATGGAAACATTGAGCAGAAGGTTGGGTTTATAGAATTATTTGAAATGTATGTCTGGTAGGAGAATACAAAAGATGGAGCTAGATATGATTTTGGAGTTTGTCCCAAGTTGTTTTTGGTCGAGGGCATGATGTACGTACAATGAAGAGGCATTGTACTTCAGAATATTCTAATTCTCTTCTCTTTATTTTTATTTTTATTTTTGTTCTTCTGTTCTGTAAATTTTAAGTACTTTTTATTTTTCTTAAACAGATCAAAGGAATTTTATGTAGTGTTGAGCGATCAACGTAGTTCTCTTTGTTTTTGGCTCACTTTAAAATACAAAATGAATCAACTTTGATTCACATTTCTAGATAATTTTGTTAATACATTGAATCCAAACAATTCTTATCCATATGTGTTTTCCTCTCTCCCTATCTTCTCTAGTAGATTTTTGATATTTAACTAGTAGTGTTCAATTCTAGGGTTGATTAATTATACCAATTTTTGGAAGATTTGTGATGAGAAACTATTTGTTTTTTATGATTGATTATTTAGTTTAAGAGTAGGATTTTTCAAACGATTTAACTAATCAATTGAATTTAGTTTGATTCGAGTTTTACACTTAAATTTTTACGGAATTGAATTTGAGCAAGTATTTGAGTTTGACAATTGGGTGACGGACGATCACAACTGACTCGAGCTTGAGCATATCAAGCACAACTAAATTAAAACTCTCGTTTAGTTAAAAATTTGTCTTTGAGGAAAAAAAAAATCAAAAGGAGCATTTGAGCATCATAAGAAGTTTCTCAAATTACTTTTGCAGCCATTCATATAAACATATGGAGTTTTAACAAAAAGACTTAGAGAGTCAATAATGGCCCTTACCATCCAAGTTGGTGGTCTAATGATAAGTTGTACCTATTTAGACTTGTCTCGGATTCTCGTGTGATTATCAAGTAGAGTTCGATTCATCGGAATAACACGATTTATTGTTTGACTTCGGTAGTGTTGCGATGACAAACTACTCTTTTGAATTAGTTATTATGATTCAAATCGGACATTTCACAAAGATAAACCAGTAAGTTCAAGCTCAGCGAAGGATTATCTATCGGTCACCTCCTCCCTTTTTTTGGGAATTGCCATAAAAAATAATGATCCCTCTTGTGAACTGATGCCTAGACCACAGAGACGTTTACGCTCCTCTTTTTAGCTTAGAACTAAGAATGGAACTTCTTGCTTATACATCATCCATGCATGAAGGGTGACCAAAATTACCATGCAACCGCAACCACAAACTTCACTAAAAAACATGTCACACCTACACTTCTCTCTCTAGATTTCTATATTTAATGCATGTGTGTAATCCTAAAAACAATTACTACAGAACAAAAATGGCCGGAAAAAGGACATACAAAGCCATTGAGGCAGTCGTTCTATCGCTTCTCCTCTTTGTCCCTAACGTTTTCTCCGATGATACAGTTCCAATCCCCGCTGTGAAGTCTCAACTAAACAGTTGGTTCCAAGCTAATGTCAAGCCACATGAAAGTAGGAAGGCCACCTTAGACCCTGCCCTGGTCACGGCGGAGGCCGGTGCCAAAGTCATCAAGGTGAGGCAGAACGGCGGTGGTGATTTCAAGACGGTGACCGATGCCATCAAGAGCATTCCAAATGGGAATACAAATCGGGTTATAGTATGGATTGGTGGTGGAACCTATACTGAGAAAATCATGATTGACAGAACTAAGCCTTTTATCACATTTTATGGAGACCCTAATAACATGCCGACGTTAGTTTATGCCGGCACGTCGGCGCAGTATGGTACGGTGGATAGCGCCACCTTGATTGTTGAATCTGATTACTTCACTGCTGTTAACATAAAATTTGTGGTCCGTACCCCTTACAAACTCTTCTTATAGTTTTTCTTCTTGTTTATGAAAAATGCATTTTGACCCCCTCAATTATGCCCTGCCTCTCGTATTGTTGCCATAGTTGTCATATATTGGTTACATTTTGCTTCTTACTTTATTATTTTTGGTTCTAACGGTCAGAGGTGTTCGGGTTAAATTACGCATATATCAACTAATTCTCTCTTTAATTTGGTCAAACGCAGACCATCCGCGCTAAGATTATAAGTACTAGTGAGAGATAAATTTCTCATGACTTAATCCCAAGAGATTGCTAATATTTGAACTAAGGACGCCTAAATTTATAACTCGTTTTTGTTACCACTTGAGCTACTCTTTGTTATTATTATGCTTCTAACTTTAGTCATTGGTTTTACATGACTCTATTAGCTCTATAGTTTTTCACATTGCACATCCAACTATAACTATTAATCCATTGCCATCACAATGGTAGATATTGAAAATATGTATTTTACTAAATATCATTCGATTTTCTTTCTAAAACATTTTGGACGTTTGCTCTTAGGGTAATGTACAGTCATTCAAATAGTTGATAGGGCAATGCAAAAAATTCCACAGTTAAGAAAACAAAGTAAACTCATGGCATAATTGAGGGGTGAAAGTATAATTTGTCTTTATTAGTGTGGGGGTGTGTGTATAATTGCATTGCTTTCTTTGATTCTTCTTAATTTATTGTACGTGTATGCCGTATACATACATATTGGAATGGACATTTCTGGTTTTGGTTTAATGCATGGTGGTGGTGGGGTTGTATCAGAATTCTTCGCCAAGGCCGGATGGAAAGAAGAGTGGAGAGCAGGCGTTGGCATTGAGGATCGGTGGCGACAAGGCCTCATTCTTTAACTGCAAACTGTATGGATTTCAAGACACCCTTTGTGATGACAAGGGCCTGCATTTCTTTAAAGACTGCTACATTGAAGGCACTGTTGATTTCATCTTTGGCAATGGAAAGTCCATCTATCTGGTATCCATGCTTCTCTCTCTTTCTCTCTCTCTCCCTCCTGACCGGGTAAATATTGGATGTAACGGGCTCTAAAGCCGACAATAAATTTTCTCTTTTTTCTTGATAATTACATGTATGAATTAATGTCTCTGACGCAGAATACCGAGACCCATGTAATCCCTGGTAAAGACGGAGTGGCAATGATCACAGCACAAGCAAGGCACAATGCTAACGAGGACACTGGTTACTCTTTTGTCCATTGCACGGTGACCGGCACAGGTGGCTATGCATTCTTGGGCAGAGCTTGGATGCCTTATGCCAAGGTGGTGTTTGCTTACACTGAAATGAGCGATGTCGTTAACCCTAAAGGATGGTCAGATAATTTCAATCCCGAGCATGACAGGTACGTCAAAACAATTCATTTTTTCGAGAAAGCTTTTTTTTTTTTTGAACAGTTCATTTTTATAGCAATTCATCTTTTGAAAAATCATGTGGTATATTTCATTACATCTGTTTAAAGGGTGATGATGACATTGCAGGACTGTTTACTATGGAGAATACAATTGCATGGGACCCGGATCAAACTTAAATGGCCGGGTTGGGTTCGCTAAGAAGCTAAAGGATGCAGATGCTAAGCCCTTCCTCAGCCTTGCCTTCATACAGGGTTCTAAATGGCTGCTTCCTCCTCCTAAGCTTTAAACAAAAGAGGAATACATATTTTGGTGTAATGTGGACATCTTAGTGTAAATCATACAAGTGGATTTGTCCTCAATAAGACTTGCTAAATGATGGTGTATAATATCCTGTTGTGATATCATGACTAGTGATGGTGAACAATGTAGTGTTGTAGTGATGGTATAAAATATTAAAAATGTAATGGATAATGGTAGAAAATGTAAGAATTTTTTTTTTTATAATTTTTATATATTTAGTTAGCATGAAATAAAAAATTATAAAAAAAAATAATTTTTTTCAAAGCTTATGTTTTCTTTCATCCATCTACCTAATATTACGGGTAGAAATTTAAATTCTTATCGATTTATAAAAACACAATAACGATTTAAATTGATCTAATTTTCATCCAATAACACAAAATTCATCTTAATTTTTTTTTTTGCTTAAAAGCATCATTTTTTCAACTTCCAATAGTAAACAACTCAAATAACACACTTTCCGATATCAAATAACCCCATTAATTTACATCTATCGGTCTTCTCCTCCCCTACCTCTCTCTTATTTTCTCTTTTTTCCCCTTTAATTTAAAATTATGCAATTAAATAAAAAAATAAATTACTATTTAAAATATAAATATTATACATTCAATGTTTAATTCTTGATATTATAGAGTGTCTTGAAACACGAGATTATTGCTAGTCCTTTAAGATTTTAGTGTCTGCTTGTCTAAGCCGTGACTCATTCAACAAATTGGGAGTTTGGAAATTCCAGATTTGGAATGAAATGCAAGTGTGATTCTTTTATTCAAACACCTTTATTAAGCATACTATTACACAAATCAAAGCTCCTCAGAAAGAGGTTTCAGGGTAGGAGGGTGACACGGCCGCTCCAATAACATGCCCAACAGAGACACACTGGCTCCATACATAATCACTCTTGGACAGAATCTCCGACTTCTCGGTTGACGTCGCCTGGACCAGAGGCACGTTGAGAAGTGTCGAAACGATCTTAAGGTGGCACAATTTTCCCATCTTCTCAAGGTTTTTGCAGCACTCCTTTGTCACTGGTGTGTTCACGAACACACCCGAGAAGACTTCGTTCCCACACTTCTCGGTCAGCTTCTTCACGCAGGTCTCCAAGTATGCCACGCCCTTCGGTGATGGCAATGGTGAGTCGGCGTAAAAGTCGGATGGTTCGGGTAATGGTGCGGCCATTGAGGGCAGTTCTGCATTGCTGGCTAAGTAGACTACGACCACGACGATGAATGTGTTAAGCGTCATGGTAAGGTTATCACTTTTTCAAACTTTTAGAAAACTTGGTGGTTTATAGGTAAAGGGAATGAAGTTTTTGCTATGGATGATGAGAAACAGGTGTGTTTGGGCTTTTATAGGTGAAGAGAAGGGACGTTTTGGGTAGCATTTAGTTATTTGCATTGAGTTTTATTTATGAAGATTTATTGTAAATATTTAAGGAAATGGGTTTCTTTTTGT